GTATCCTTTTATCATGGTGGTAATTAGACTTATCAGGATATCAAATGGTCCTTTTTAGGATATTAATTAGTCTTTATCAGGATATCAATTAGCCTTTAGAAGTACGGGAATTGATATACTGACAAAAGAAAAATTAATATACTGACAAACGATAATTAATGTTCTGAAAAAAGATAATTGTCCTTATTCAGGACATTAATTATCCTTTGTCAGCATATTAATTATCTTTTTTCAAGATATTAATTATCCTTTTTTAAGACATTAATGAACGAAAAAATAATTAATATCCTTTCCAACATATTAATTATCTGTTCGCAGAGCTCTCCAGGGCCCTACTGCTGCCTTTGGACTCCACGTCTCTGCGAGGGGACTGCAGCGGCAACAAGCAGCAGCAACAAGCAGCAGCAACAAGCAGCAGCAACAAGCAGCAGCAACAAGCAGAAGCAACAAGCAGCAGCAACAAGCGGAAGTCCTGAATAGCTGCAGCAGCAGCAGCCACGAGGGGACTGTCTCCTTTTGCCAGTTCCCCCGTCCCCTGAGTCCAGCAGCGGGGGCCTTGAAGAGCAAAGGGCCTTCAGCTCGAGACCCAGATAAGTGTCTTAATAAATCTCAAGAGTTTTATTAGTGAAACAAAACTTAAGTCCTGTCTCAGCCTCGGAAGCAAACTGCTTGCTGCTTGACTCTTAGCTAACAAAAGTCTTGAACAAAAACCAAAAATGCACTGAAGTGCTGATGGGGTTTTGGCTGCGCCCAGCAGACCCTGCATGCAGCTTGCATGCGTTTGGGGAGTTTGCCAAACTCTTGCTAAAGACTATTCTAAAAGACTAAACTTTGAAGTCCCGCGGACTTGGCAAGAAAGCCATCTCTGCCAGATGCCGGGGAAAAGGTCTTAACTTTTTTTTGGTTTTCCCCCTCAGCCTCGACTTGTGCAGCAGCTATTCCCCAAGGCCATGGCCTCTGGGTGTTGCATTTTTCACCAAAAGGGCTGGAGAGAATTAAGAAATTTGAAAGGCCCTTCTTGCATGCGCCTTCTGCCGGGCATTTCAGCCCCAGGCAAAGTCTGGGCAATTCTCGAGGTTTGGACTGAGAGGAGGCAGCAACGAAAAGCTCCGACTCAGCAACATCGGAGATTTTATTGTTGGGACTTGTCCGCAAAAGCTGTCTTGAAGGAACTTTTGTAAAATAGGGGGCCTCGGGGGCCCCCTAAGAAACCCTCTCCAGGTAGAAGCTGCTGCTTTGGACCTTCAAGTTCAAAGCGCGAAAGTCCCGAAGCAGCAGCTTCTACTTTGGGGCTTGGAGGGCAAAGAGCATATGAGGGCTGCTGCAGCTGCTGCAGCTGCTGCAGCTGCTGCAGCTGCTGCAGCTGCTGCAGCTCTTCTGAAGTGCTGCAGCAGCAGCTCTTCACTCCAGGCAGCAGCGCTGGCCCAGCTGCCCCACGGCAGCAAAAGAAAGCTTGCTTTTTAGCTTCCGAAGGAGCAGCGTTTGTCTCCTTTCAGTCCCCAACAAAGTGAAACGTGTCCCTCTTTGTTCCCTCGCGGTAGGGGAAGATATCCGTGGGGCTGGGGGCACCTTTGCTGCGAAGCTTTTGCTGCTGCAGCACTTGGAGCTGCTGCAGCGCGAGCTAACAAAGAGCACACATTTCCTTTTTGATTCTTTTTTCTTCATTCAGAAGGCAGTGCGAAGTCAATTTCATAAAGAGCCTCTTGGTAGGCCACTTTATCTCGCATAAAAATCAATCATTTCCGGTGGGGGCCGCAAGAATCTGGACAGCAATTGGGTTTCCTGTCTCTTTTGGAGGCTTTTCTCTTCAAGAACAAAAGCTTTCTTTGGAGAAAAAGAAACAAATTGACAGGAGGAGCAGCTTCGAATGTCAGGACTTCCCAAAGGAAACTTTTGAAGGGCCCCAAAGGCGGGCTGGGGGCTGCAGAAAGTCACTTCAAGTGATTATGTACATTTGTTTATGTTTTTGAATTATGCACTCTAGTGCACTATTTTGCTTTTTCCTGTTTTGAACTAGCACGCTTGCGGCTAAGTCGATGGGCTTGCATCTGATTCGAAAATAATTGGCTAGCTGTTGCTAGAGGCAGCTAGCTCTTAGAGAAGGCTGGCTAGCTAAAGGTTTTGCACTTGACTGTAAAGTTAGTTGGCTAGCTGTCAAAGGCAGCTAGCTATTAGAGAAGGCTGGCTAGCCAGTGGTTCTGCACTTGATTTCGAAGATAAGTGGCTAGCTGTCGAAGGCAGCTAGCTGGAACAGAGGGCTGGCTAGCCCGAGTCAAGACAAAATCTTGAGCTTTATTAGAGGCCCCCAGCTGAGCAAAAAGCCTCTTGCAAAGTAAATCTTTGCAATTAATAACTTTGCAAGTTTAATTGCACTTTATGTCCTTTGCAAAGTCCAAGAAAACTCCTTTCTACTCTCCCCGGCGAAGCCCCAACTTGAAGGCCAAAGGGACTTGGCCGCAGGAGCTGCTGGGCGAGATACTTGCTGCAGCAAAAAAGGCATTACATCGCTGCTGCTGCTGCTGCTGCTGCAGCGACTGTCTCCTGGCTTCAGTGGATCCTCATTCCCAAGCTTCCGCAGCAGCAGCAGCAGCAGCAGCAGCAGCAGCAGCAATTTAGTTGCCTAGTGGGGAGCAATGCAACACAGCTAAAAGCCAGGAGCTGCAGCAGCAGCACCAGAGAGGAAGGTGCTGCTGCCAGCTGCTGCTGTGGGGCGACGCCGGCGCAGCCAGCTGCTGCACGAGGTGCAGCAGAGCCTTCTTCTGGCTTGCTGCTATGTTGCTGCTGCTAACTGCTGCAGCGCTGCTAAACTTAAACCCTCAGCAGGCTCATACAAAGCCTTGGGGAATCCTAAACCCTAAACCCTAAACCCTAAACCCTAGACTTCGGGCCCGAAGGTCGAGCGGAAGGCGAGCTTTTAGAGCGTTCAATCATTGTAAGATACGGCCCCACTTGTTTATCTCGGCTTTTAAAGCTGCCTTGAGTGCACTGCACGGGCTAGATTTAGGGTTTAGGGTTTAGGGTTTAGGGTTTGGAAGATTGTCGGGGTTGGTGGAGGCGCGTCTCCGCAAGGGTCGCGGCGTGGGCTGGCCTTGCTCGCGTCTCTGTTTATTTTGCGCAATATTTACTGCTTTTGAGTAATAAAAACGAATTAGAAATGAAATAAAAAGTCCAATAAAGAAAAAGAGCTCCGGAGAGCTGCAGTGGGGGATACACACAGGGGGAGCTGCCTGTACACACGAGGAGCTGCGAGCGGGGGCGGGGCGGCGCTGGGGTGTACGTACACCCGGAAAGAGTTAAGCGCAGGAGTTGAAATTTGGATTGGAGCGGATCAAAACAAAAAAAGAAGTCCATAAAAACGAAAAGGAGGATAGATCACTGGATTTCGAGGTGCCGTCTCGGTGCTGCTGCTGCTGCTGCTGCTGCTGCTGCCCCGCTGCTGCGGTGCTTCGCTCCATCCTCTCGCTGCTCCCTGCGTGCTGCAGCTGCTGCTGCTGCTCTTCCGGCGCTTCTGCGCGGCAATCGGCGTTCACATTTCCTCTAATTTGTCGTTTCATTTCTTTTTTTATTTTCCTTTCTTTCTTTTGCCCTCCGGAATGGCTCCAACCTTCGCTGGCTACGCTGCGGACGCAGCAGCAGAGCAGGGGGCTGCTGGTGCAGCAGCAGCAGCAGGCGAGGCGGCGCAGCTGCTGGCTGAGGAAGCCACCATGGTCTCCTCCGTGGACACTGCAGCAGCAGCAGCAGCAGCAGAAGCAGAAGCAGCAGCAGCACCTCGCCGCAGCCGCACTCTTGCTGCAGGCCTGGGGTTTGCTGCTGTTGCAGCTCTGGCTCTTGCACTCCTGGGGGGCCTCCTCTCCACCAACATGCTGCGTCTCCGGGCCAAGCCGGAGGCTCTGGGGACCCTCGAGGGGGACTCCCCTGTGGGCCCCTCCATGGGGGCCCCCCTGGGGGCCCCCACGGACCCCGCGGGGCTCCCCTTGGGGGGCCCCATCCCCCCCACGGGGGTCCCCCTGGGGGCCCCCACGGCAGTCCCGCCCCCCGCAGGGGCCCCCCTCGCAGGGGCCCCCACAGCGGCCCCCAAGGGGGGCCCCCAGGGGGCCCCCGAGGCGCCGCCGATGCAGGGGGCCCCCCTAGGGGCCCCCGTGGGGGCCCCCGCAGCAGCAGCCGGGAAGCTGGGAGTGCCCCAGGGGCCCCCGCGGCCGCGGACTCCGCCGCCAGTGACGAACTTGCCTCCGAGAATGCCAGGAGATCCTTTTGATGAAGTGGATGCTGCTGGCGGAGGCAGCAGCAAAGCTGGCAGCAAGTAGAGCAGCAGCAGCAGCAGCAAGAAGCTGTGAAAATGGACCGAGAAGCAAAAAAATCCGGCCAAAATGACCCGGGGGGCCGCTGCTGCTGCTGCTGCTGCTGCTGCTGCTGCTGCTGCTGAGGGCTGCGGGGCCAATTTGAATTGCTGCTAGCGGCCGAACTGCTTCCTTCGTCCGCCGCAACAGCCAGAGGCACGAGGGACTACAGCAGCAGCAGCAGCAGCAGCAGCAGCAGCAGCAGCAGCAGCAGCAGCGGCAGCAGCAGCAGCTGCTGCTGCTGCGGCCTGCTGCTGCTGCTGCGGCCTGCTGCTGCTGCTGCTGCTGCAGCCGATGCAGTTTGAGCTGATATGGCTTTATTATATGAGTTGCGAAAGCATTATTAATGTGGCGTTTTATAAAAAGTATTTCTGGTTTTGAAAATAATATTTTATTCTTCCGAGCTCGCAGCTGAGGTGTATGGACAGCCCCCGAGCAGCAACACTTCACAACAGCAAAGTTTTATTTCCTGCGCGCAACAGGCGCAGCAGCAGCCCGTCCCCGCGGCGCCCTTGTCCCTAGCTAGCTAGCTAGCTAGCTAGCTGGCTAGCTGGCTAGCTAGCTGGCTGGCTGGCTAGCTGGCTAGCTGGCTGCAGCGTTTGCGCTGCTGGCGGGACGAGGTGGCTAGTTGGGCGGCTCCAACTAGCGAATTAGCTAGCTGGCTGGCCGCCGCTAGCTAGCTAGCTAACCAGCTAGCTAGCTAGCTAGATGGCGAGCTGGCTAGCCGCCGCAGGTCATATTTTGTTTGGACCGTTTAAGGGACCCAGGTGACTGCCGATACCACGAGAGGCCTTTACAGGAGAGTAGTGCGCGGTGGCTAGCTAGCTAGCTAGCTAGCTAGCCAGGTGGCCATCGGTTAGTTAGGTAACTGTGTAGCTCTAGCTAGCTAGCTAGCTGGCGAGGTTGCCATCAGCTAGTTAGATAACTGTGTAGCTCTAGCTAGCTGGCTAGCAGGCCAGGTAGCCATCAGCTACTTAGATAACTGTGTAGCTCTAGCTAGCTAGCTAGCTAACGAGGTAGCCATCAGCTAGCTAGGTAACTGTGTAGCTCTAGCTAGCTAGCTAGCTGGCCAGGTAGCCATCAGCTAGTTAGGTAACTGTGTAGCTCTAGCTAGCTAGCTAGCTGGCCAGGTAGCCATCAGCTAGTTAGGTAACTGTGTAGCTCTAGCTAGCTAGATAGCTAACGAGGTAGCCATCAGCTAGTTAGGTAACTGTGTAGCTCTAGCTAGCTAGCTGGCTAGCTAGGACGCTGGGTTGGTAGATGCGGATAGTTGCGTAGCTAGCTAGCAAGGAGCGTGGCTAGCTGGCGGAGTAGCCACTTCGGCAGTTGGCTAGTTCGCTGGGGCGAGGAGTGGCTCTGGATAGCTAGCTGGCTAGCTAGCTAGCTGGCTGGTCCTGTAGCTCGTTGCTGGCTAGCTATGCCGCTGCTGAAGTTCCCGGGCGCCTAGCCAGTTAAGTGTGTGGCTAGCTGGCCGGGGAGCTGGCTAGCCACGTACTTACTATCTTTGCTGCTGGCTAGCTACTGGCTAGCTGGCTGCTGCACAGTTACCTCGCTAGCATGCTCGGTAGATAGCTGGCTAGCTAGCTGTCCAGCTAGCTCCGTGACTACAGCTAGCTGGCTAGCTATTCACAGTGGCTTGCTAGCTGGCTGGGAGGACGCGGGAGGGGAAAAAAGAAACTCGTGCCAAAGAATTCCCAAGTACGCACGTTTGCTAGCTAGCTAGCTAGCTAGCTGGTAGCTAGCTGGCCAGCTGCAAGTGGCTAGCCAGTAGCTAGCTGGTGCAGTGCCCAATGGCTGGCTAGGCAAGCTGCCGGGTGGAGAGCTCGCTAGCTAGGTGTAGCTAGCTGACTAGCTAGCCAGTTCTCCGGCTATCCCGTGGGCTGGCTAGCTAGCTAGCGGCAGGCGAGCTAGCTGGCTATCCAGTGGCTAGCTAGCTAGCTAGCTAGCTAACGGCAGCTAGCTGGCCACTAGGCAAACAGGTCTTCTCTCTCGGCCACGTCGTTGTCTTGCTGCTCGAGCTGCGTGAACTGCAAGAAGTGCGCCGGCCTGAACAGCAGCAGCAGCAGCAGCAACCAGCAGCAGCATGAGTAAACAGCAGCAGCAGCAGCAGCAGCAGCAGCATGCCAACGCGGCAGCAGCATGTGCCAGCAGCCCCAACCCACCGCAGCAGCACTCCAAAGCACCCCCACCGCCCGCAGCAGCAGCACCACCTCCACAGCAGCAGCAGCACCACCACCCCCACAGCAGCAGCAGCAGCAGCACCACCACCTCCACAGCAACAGCAGCAGCAGCAGCACCACCACCACCTCCACAGCAGCAGCAGCAGCACCAAACCACCCCCACAGCAGCAGCAGCAGCACCACCACCACCTCCACAGCAGCAGCAGCAGCACCAAACCACCTCCACAGCAGCAGCAGCAGCAGCAGCAGCAGCAGCAGCAGCAGCAGCAGCAGCAGCAGCAGCAGCAGGAGCATTACCTGTGGGCCTCGTGGTAGAAGTCCTTGGGGGTGTCGAGCATCAAAGTGTACTTCATGGCGGGAGAAAACTTAACTCCCATGAAGTTATAATTCCAAACTCCGCCGCCTTCCGCCGGCACCAAAAAGAAACCCGAAAACACATCTGACAGCAGCATTTGGGCTCGCTCTGCGTGGCCTTTCGAGTACCCTGCTGGCGTTGCAGACACGTCCTGCAGCAGCAGCAGCAGCAGCAGCAGCAGCAGCAGCAGCAGCAGCGGGTGTCTTTCTCTCGGAGCTCTCTCTAACGAGGTAACCAGCTAGCTAGCTATCCGCCTCACTAGTTAGTTAGCTAGCTAGCTAGCTAGCTAGCGATCCACCTCACTAGCTAGCTAGCTAGCTAGCGATCCACCTCACCAGCTAGCTAGCTAGCCAGCTAGCTATCCACCTCACCAGCTAGCTAGCTATCCACCTGACTAGCTAGCTAGCTAGGTAGCGATCCACCTGACTAGCTAGCTAGCTAGCGACCCACCTCATTAGCTAGCTAGCTAGCTAGCTAGCTATCCACCTCACTAGCAAGCTAGCTAGCTAGCTAGCTAGCTAGCTCTCCACCTCCCCACCTCGCTAGCTAGCTCTGACCTTCCTGCCTAACTACCTCTGAAGCTCCCTCGCACCCAGCCCTCCAGCCACCCATCCCGCCCCCCGCCCTC